CTTCGTGCCTCTGCACCGGAGCTTTGCCCCATGCTGATCCATGCCTGCCCTGCTGGATATTCCAGCACAGCCAACCCATGGGCCTGGGCCATCATTCTGGAAATGACTCAGCTCCAAGCAAGCACTTCCCAGCCTTCCACTCCTCCTTCCCTTTCTTCCCTGCTTCTTCAGGGAAAAACTCAGCACCAAATCACAGTCTTGTGACCAAAACAGGAGCACATTCAGCAGCTGTCTGCTCCTCTAATAAATTAATAAGCAGGCTTAATTTGTTAAGGAAAGATTAAGAAGGAAGACTTCTGGCTGTTCAACGTCCCTTCTTTATTTTTGCAAGTCACACCAGCATACAGTCAACAACATAGGCCTAAAAGCTTCTTTGAAACCTGTCTGAGCTTGCAGGGAGCCCCTTAGCTCAGAGCAGCACCTTGCTCCCACACAGCCAGGCACTCATCCTGGACACAAGTCACCTGTCTGGCATGTCGGGGAGTTCCCCTTCAGCTGGAATTGTTTACAAACAAGTCAAGCCTGACACAAGACATGCACTGTCTGCAAACAAAGGTTGTCCAGACTTGCAGTCTGCAACAAGCAAGAAAGCCTGAGCAGCCCTATGCCAATTGGTGTTGTTCCAGTGGATATTCCCTTTCACCTTGAAAAGCAAAGAGGCAGCTGAAAAGCAGAAAGTCCTCCAGATCATTTGCATCTCCTACAAAAATGCCAAAGATAACAAAGCTGAGAGAGACAAGGAAGGCTGGCTTTGTTCAGTCTAAATAAGGTGCATGACGAAGTCCTAAAGCTGCCTGCAGCCACGCAATGGGAGAGTATGGAGACAACTTTCATCACCAGAAATGACACAGATCTGAAAATAAAACAAATGTAAGCCATTCCTAGAGGTTGGACAGATTATTCACTGGCTTTTTAGTTACGCCAAAGAAAGCTAATCAGAGCAATGGGCTGTGAATATAGGTTGTACTCTGATTTACTCTGCTGAGAAGAAACGCCTTCATGTCAAGGTTCGAAAAAGGGACAACCTTGTGGTCTATGATTTAATAGGATGAAAGAGAAGGAAAAGAGTATCATTGGAGAGGTCTCAAAGATACAGCAGAAATGAAAAATTAATACTTGAGTTTTTCAACCAATCTCCCTTCCACGGTAGCATTTTTTTTTTTTTACATACTGTAGTATCTGCAGAAAGAATCACCTTCAAAAAAGTCATTCTGTTTTATCAGAAAAGAACTTAGAGAAACACTGCAGTCATAAACAGTACATCGCCGCTGTTTTCAAAGTTAAACTGCATTTGCTTGACTTCAAAGCATCTTATCCAAAGATGGGAAATACCACATGGGAAGAAAAATTGCTTCATTTAGGATCAAAACCCGTAGCTCGGAAATCTATGCCAAGCGTTTTGAATCAGAATCATTAATGATTAAGGATGTTTAATCCACGGCGTTGAAGAGAAAAAGCCAGCATAGTGCTTGAAAGAAATAAAACCCACTCGTACGGAAACAGAGCTTCTGGTGAGAACAAGGGCAACTGGGGTTGCCCAGAGCCAAAGGCAGGGCACCCACCAGGCCAGACTCATATAGCTGCATATCTGTGGGATGGAGCTTCACCAACGCATTTATAAAGCTGAGCAGAAGGTTGCAATCTAATTGCTTCAATTTACAGAAATAAATACTGCCCCCACCCCCAATATTTTCAAGTAATTATCTAGCTGAATGATCACAATCATGAAATATGTTATTATCCCAAGCAGACATTTATAGTACTCAGGCTTAAAGCAGCACCTCACTCTAAGCAGGATGCCAGAGGCAAGGGGCTGCTTCTGCCTGCAAGAAATAGGAGCTGGAGCAGGGCACGCTGACCTGCACCATGCAAGTCACTGCCAGCACCAGCTGGGGCCATTCAGCTTCTGCTGGGCACAGATTTCACTGGCTACAGTCACCGGTGAAAGCAGGGGAAGGAAAGTGTGATGCTGTAATGTAATGGATAGCACCGCAGTAACAGCAGCACAATCCCAGGCTGCAGCAAATGAGGACAAGCCCAAACGTAGATGATGCAGATGCAGAAACAAAAGAAAACTTGCTTACTCTTTGGAAGACCTTTGGAAGGCAGGGATCTCCAGAAAAATACCCTCGCCTCCACTGCCAGCCCTTAAATGAGGAGTGGATCCTGGCTCTATCCCCTCCATCACTAAGGTTCACTGCACACATCTGAGCTCCCCTGGGTTGGCCCTGCCTTCCCACCAGGTGCTCAATCACTGCTCCAGGCCATGACTTAGCATTTCTGCTACAGAAGGATACATAGGCTCAGGTCTTGCTCTCCTTTCAGCAAACAGCAAGTTGAGAAGCAATATGTTTGCTGACAAACTAATCCTATGGCCCACGGGAGGGAAATGAAACGACAAAGGCCTCAGAGCTTAAGGAAAGCTGTAATCACTTCCACGCTCGTCAGTCCCAAACCTGATTAGTCTTCTGCAAGTGGTTTGACAGTTGTCGATCTCAAAGTAATCCTCATGTTGTGCATTTTTGGTGCTTTTCTTACCCCCACACAATGAGTTGAGCTGCTGGTGGCACTTCCAGACCATGTAGCACATGGCTGCAGCTCCAGGACCTCCATCAGCAGAAGAATTGCTTCACACCATCAGAACCAAGGCCCTTCCATGGCTCACCTCTGAATCCTTGAGTAACGAGGAACACTTCAGTTCCAGAGAAAAATGGGAATCTACTTGCAATGAAGGGGATACAGAAACAGATGTTGAAGGCCTCACTCATGGTAAGGTATCTCCAAACAAGAATTACATTAGGGTTTTTTACAAATTCTCAAGACAAAAACCATTTACCCCATTGCGGTGACAAGGGACAACAAGGCTACAGGAACTGAACATAAACGCCCAGCTTTTCAATGGTTGATGGGTTTAGACTGCCAGCAGAGCAAATTGCCAAGGAATTCATCTACCATATGAAGGCTGTAGCATCCAGAGCCCCCGTAGCGGAAAAAAGAAGATGAGGAGGTTTAGCCAAAGCACCACATTTTAGAACTGTCATCTTATTATCACAGTGTCATGAGTTGGAACTATATACGTGTTCGAGGCACACTGGAAACTATGGGTTTAATTAAATATCTTCTAGAGAATGTTTCTGATGCTTTCAGAGTACTTTTTATAGTCTCGATGTTGTGGCAACAGAGGAAGTGGTATTCACATCAAAGATAGCACAAACAGAGCGAGGAATTTATAAGTGTATGCAAGTAGAAGGACAACCCAGGTTCTGAGTCAAAAGACCAAGATTCATGTGGAGAGGAGAGAGAGGGGGAAGTGAACACAAGTATGAAATAAATCCCCAGGTACAAGAGGAGAGGTAAGGACAGGCTCCTGCTGAGAACTCAGGGGTCACCACCAGCTCCTCCCCTGCTGTTGGTGTGGCCTTTACCACGGTCACTCTGACTTATGAGAGTTTTATTAAGCCTTACTCTTCTCTAATCTCCAAAGGGCTGGCACGCACACAGGACGCCTGCTGAATACTGAGAAGGGAATAGGAGGCACAAGTCTGCCTGCACACAGAGACCTTTCCTCCAGAATTCAGCCCTGGAATGCATCATGGGGCAGCACAAGCAAGGGCTCCTCCTAACCACATCACACCAGGGGCTGAGTACAGGACCAGGGGTGCCTTAAAAACGTAGAGAGAAAAGATAAAAAGCAGTGCTCACCAGCTGAAATATCTGTTCTCACATTGTAGTGACACAAACCCTTCGAAAAGCCCAAAAAACTGGGCACTGAGGGTATTCCACATTTTTGTTCTATACATGCAATGTAAAAAAGGGTCTGGCTCTAGAGGTAGAAAGGATTAAAACCCTGGATATCCACAGGCTAGCTGTACAGCAGTCCAGCAAACTAGCTACCAGCAAGCCCTGATGGGACAGGTGCCAACTGGGAACGCACCAAGCTGCTTCAGTATTCTCCTGAAACAGAAAATTTGGTGCAGGATGTTCCTGTGTGTTCAGATTTGCAAAAGACATTTCGTGATGTTTTGTCAATGTCAGAAACAGTTACGAGCTTTAATGCCTTACAGGAAAATATTCCAGTTATCCTCAGGTAAGATGGGCTTATTTGTGATACTCAAGGGGAGGAACTGTTTGAACACATAATGACAGCACTGTGCCATCACATTCTCCAGACTGAAATACCAAAGGTTTAATTTGTTCTATCCCCTTTTTCCACAGCGAGCACCACGTTCACAAGGTGAGATGTAATGGTTGTGATCAGAGCTGCCACATTGGGTCAACAGTACAGAACCAACACATCAGTTCAGATTTTCAGCTGTTCAGCCACAACTTACTGTTGGGTTTCCATTTCTTCAGAACCAGTGTTATTGCTGAGCTCTGGTTAAGAAACAGAAAACCATTCATAATACAAACATCAGAAGGACATCAAGTGCTTCTTCCCCAGGAAAAAAGACCAAAGCTTTCGAAGAATGGAGAAGCTGCTTACTACTACGTCATCAATCATGATTTTAATGTTTAGAAGAGTTTTCTGCTGCCTTTTGACCAAACCTTTGCATGTTTTCTTTTTATTGGACTTGCTTCAAGGTACAGAAAGCTAAATGAAATTATAACCAGGAAACAGCTCTACCAACATGACTCCTTTACAAGTCTGTGCCAGGCTGGAGTTTTTAGGGCCATTTCTCTTGCTTACAGACTTATTTTCCCTGCATGCAGCCACAAACCACCAGACTTCTTCATGCATTTGTGCAGTTTTACTTTGCTGAATGACATTTCTCTTTTTTCCGAGCATACAACCACTCAAGTATTAGAAAGCTGGCAAGTGACATTTAATGTGTCTTTTGAGTAGATGCACACAGTTCAGGGGAAGGAAAAAAGCAAGCAGTAGTTTACCACTGGTGGAAATATCACCAGTCTAATTTTGAGTCAGGAATGCAAAACCAAACTGGTCCAACCCAGGCTCCTCATGGAGGCTGTGGATGCCCTGTCCCTAGAAGTGTTCAAGGCCAGGTTGGATAGGGCCCTGGGCAGCCTGGTCTAGAATTAGATATGGAGGTTGGTGGCCCTGCCTGTGACAGGGGGGTTCGGAGCTGCATGATGCTTGAGGTCCCTTCCAACCCAAGACATTCTGTGATTCTACGATTCCACTGTCTACAGAACAGTCTACAGATAACTGTTAAAGACAGAGGAGAAGAATGAATGCATTAAAGTGAGGAAGCACCCATCACTAGCAGTAACACATCAGCTAACAGCAAAAAGAAAGAAAAAAAAAAGAAAGAAAAAAAACCAACAACCAAACAACTATACACATTAGCATTTAGAAATCTCCCCTGGGCTCAGCTAATTGCTGTGATCAATTCTGGCTTGCTCACAGAAGCCTGGACAGCTAGCTGGAGGGGGTAAGGACAGAACCATAGCATGGGAGATGCAATTTTAATGAGCTTTTAAATAGCCAAGGCAGCATCCCACCCCACAGTGTGTACTGGACAACAGCCCACCTGATGCTGCAAGGTAACTCACCCGTCTTCTGAAGCAAATAACCTCCAATAGTGCTTATTATCTCCTGAAGTATTAGGATTTATTATGGTAAACCAGTGCATTTTATTTCTTAACAGTATTTACAAAGCTCAGGAAACAACAAAACCCTGGGACACATGCTTGATATTCTTTTCAGTATGGGTGATACAAAGATACATAATCCTCTTAAGAAATAACCATTGTAAAGCACGGATAAGGGTTCATAACAGTGACATATCTTTATAAAGAAGGGATTTCCAGCGTGGGATTTCAGAAAGCACACTAAATGCAGACTGCAAGGCCTGCAAGCCATCCCACAGTCAGCATCATTGCAGATGATCCTATGCTTTTATGCCACTCTGTTGCTTTTCCCATAGTCGGGGTGAAATTGATGCACTGCTCACAGAAGCAGGGACTGACACCTGCCCCCCATCTCCTGGTATAATTAAAGCAAGTAGAGAAGGTGGAAATGTCCCACTCTTTTCATTAATAACTTCCAATAACTCTATACAAGATCAGATTTCACTTTTTTTTTTTGTTTTAATAAGCAGATGCAATTCAACTTTTTTTTTGAGATGGAAAACAAAAACTTGCAGATAAACAAAAATGTGTAAAAAGGCAGATGTTCAGAGGTTGTATTGCCAGGGCACTGTTCACAGGGCAAACTCACACCTCATGTGCCCTTGTACTGCAGCAGCAAAGCAACCAGAACACTGGATTAAATGCTGCTACAAGTCACTATGCAATAATTAAAGTTACAGTTCTCATAGAAAAGAACTGCCAAAGCAGTTTTGCTCGTGAAAACTGGGTTCCTTTTGCCAGCTTTACATGAGAAGAGCCACATTGAGGCTAAAAGGCAAGTCAGCCCAGCAGTCCCTTCCCATCACCCAGTATGATTAACCAGGAGAGAATGCAAAGATAAGACAACCTTGCAGTGAAGCTTCCCCTAAATAACCTCTCCCAAAGCACCTGTTTGTGGTTTAGGGGCTTCCTGACTCTGTTTGGAGCTCAAGTATATTTGCCTCCTATGCAATGTGTGGAATCCTGTGTTCAGCTCTCAAACTCCCAGCACCTCCAGACCATCTTTCACTTTGAATCTGGCATCTACTGCTTCCATTTGATGTCCCCTAGTTCTTGGCAGAAAGAGTGAGCTGTTCACCTATTTTATCAGGTAGTCTCCTATCCAATCTTGTTCAAGGCTAGATAGCTGTAATCAGCTCAATCACTCGTACAACAGCAGCCAGTAATTCATCTTTACTGCCCTCCTCTGTGCTCCTTACTGCTTTGCTCTCAGCCCTTTGAAATGGGATAAGCTGGCAGGGTACATCAGTACCAGCACCGTACACAGCTGGGCTGATAAGCAGATAGCAGCTTTCCTACCAGCCTTGCTTTCACAACAAAAGGTTTTCTTCCACATCCAGCATGCCAGCATCTGAGCTGGAGGGGAGATGATGGGCCGGGCATGGCAGTCCTGGTTTTCACCAGCCCAAGCTCTGTTCTCCTCTTTTGGCTACAGCAGTGAGCAGAAAGTCTCCGCTGAAGCAGCTCACTGAGAACAGCCCCCTCCTCCCAGCCCTTGCAACTGCTCTGTATGCTTCAGGTACAAAGTAGAAGGCTGTGCATGGAGGCCAAAATTCAGGTACATCCATGTTCCCACACTGCATCACATGGTTCATACATGCAGCACACAACACCCAAAAAGGAAATGCAAAGAACGTGATACTAAATACTGTCAGTCAGTTTGCCAGTCAAACAAAAAAAGTCTGGCTGCAGATATACCGAGAAGGGCTTATTTTATATCCAACTTCCTCATGCAGTGTCAGCTTGAAGAGGTCTCATTCAACCATTTGAGGATGCTGTCCTTGATAGAACATCAGGCAAAGCTGTGAAAATAACATGCAAGAAAGTTGATGTTGTTTCTTGATCTTCATTTCCACAGTTGGGTAGCTCTTACAGCAACATTTCGTTCTGTCATGGGGATGCGAGAGACGACTTACATAAAGTTCAGTTTAATTGCCAAAAGAAAAGAAAAATTAACACAAAGAAAGCAGACAGAATGCCAGGCCCACTCTGAATCCTCACATTGAGTCAATCAAAGGAAAATGAAACTGGGATTCTGTTAATTACCCATGGGTTGTGAATACACACACACACCTTGAACGTGCTGCACAAACCCACAGTGCTTACTCATTACAAAGTCACAGCATCCTCCCAAGCCTACCACTGTACTTCCATGGGGAGCCCTGGTCTTTTCTGAAACATAAAAGCTTCGCCTGGCACATAGGAACAACAGCACTCACAGTTATTAAAAATATATCACTCGAATCACCAACATAGCATATGCATTTTCGTGTCTCAAAAGCAGTAAGCCTAGAGCTGTCACTAAGCTGCTGCAGGACACGGAGAGGACCAGGAGGACTTGAAGCACGTGTGGCAGAGGCACTTCTGCATGAAGACAAGGCAGGGCTGCGTGGTGAGCCAGCTCAAGGTACATAGCTTCACCACCATGATCTCAGAGCTGAAAAAGCACTGTGGCAATGGCTGCATTTAGACTCATCTCTTCACACAAAAGAAGTTTGCTAGAAAGAGTTTGGTTACTGTAAAAAAAAAATATATATATCTATTAACTCAAAAAAACAACTTCTTCCTTCAGGTGTACTCTTACTACATGGCAACGTCTCCATCCCCCACTTTTCTTTTTCTTCAAACCTGCTCCTCTCCTACTTCTCTGACTGCTGCTGTTTCAGTTTCCAGGGAGATGACAGCAGGCTCCATAACAAAAGAGACGTCAAAAAAAAACCCAACAAGCCAGCCAATAAGCTGCAAATTCAACCCACACAAACTTCAACCTCACAAGCAATCTGTGTATGGAATCCAGCTGCCGTTATACATTTCCCAGCCACCTTCCCTTATGCTTTGATACAAGAGTAGTTTAATGCCTTCGCATTTTGCTTGCTAAAACAAAATCAAAGTGAGAAAGCCAGGGCATTAACATGGCTCTTTACTGTCAAAGAAATCCGAGCACTTAACATGCTTTTCAAGGGTGAAGTGATTTTTGCTCTGATGTCAACTGCAACAAGATTGCTGTCCCAGCAGATCACTGTCCTGTAAGCATCCAGGTGGACAGACAATCTATGGGATAGTTGTCATTAGTGCTTAGCTCAAGCTGGCTGCAAAGGCCAACAGCCAGCTGCTTGCAAAGCTGCCCACCCACCTTCACAAAACCACCCGCCGCACCACAAACTGTTGTCTGATGTTATATTACATCCTCCTTCCCCCTTACGTGCCCTTCACACACCCTTCTCCTCTCATATTACCGACTGCAAATTTTTACATCTAAAGTCAGAGTTAAAATCTCTTCCCTTTACAGCATTAATTGCTTTGATTGTTGGAACAGCTAAATGTAGTCACCGTGTCTTCACAAACGAAGCCCGTGTTTCTCTAGAACCATAACCAAACAAAATTTATTCTTTTATTGTTTTCCAATGAGAGGATCCTTTGAAGGCGTTTCCCTGTTTTTGAAGCTGACCTTCCACTACTCCTATCATATTCTGACTCTTTTTGGGGGGGCAGTACTTGGAAAACAGCGTCACACTGACGTAGGTCAGTCACGCTTGCTAGCTGAAGGCAAACTGCTTCTTTATAGTATTCTTTCTGATTCATTTTCCAGTAAAACTTACCAAGAGTTAGCAGGGAATTCCCCGCTCCCAACTCCTTCGGGCATTCTGGAACCAATTCAAAAGGCTCAGATCCAGAAATAAGCTTTGTTTTCTTCTGAGCTGAAGGCATCTTGCAGGTATCGATTTCACATCTGCTTTGAGAAAAGGTTCCAGTGACAGCTGCAGCAACTCTGATGGGATACTCTGGCCATGTTTAAAGTTACACATAACTCATTTTTTTGGAGAAGTCAACTTTTCCAGGTCAAAATGAGACTTTAACTACTGGCCCCTCATGTAAAGTAAGCTCCTAAGAAAATCACTAGTCAGATATTTCAGAAAGGAGGTGATATGTGACAACCAGCATGGCTTCACCAAGGGTGAATCCTGCTTGACCAACCTGCTAGCCTTCTGTGATGGTGTCACTGCATCAATGTAGAAGGGAAGAGCCACGGATGTCGTCCATCTCAACTTCAGTAAGGCCTTTGACACCGTACCCCACAACATCCTTCTCACCAAATTGGAAAGATGTGGATTTGATGGATTGTTCAATGGACGAAGAACTGGCTGCAGGATTAAGTCCAGAGTGCAGCAGTCAATAGCTCCATGTCTGAATGGAGCTGGAGGTGAGAGGTGTCCCAGAAGGGTCAGTGCTGGGACTGATACTCTTTAATACCTTCATCAATGACATGGACAGTGCAGTAAAAAAGCTTGGAAACGCTGCACATTGCAGAGGGTCTCCCCTCCAAGCCCTCATACCACACAGCATCATGTAACCCACAGACAATGAGATAACGTTATAAATAGCAGCAGCATGTCGTAGCTGTTTGTCTCAGTAAATTCCACAGTGAATAAGGCTCGGTGACTCAAGGCTGCACAGCGCTTGATTCAATGGTCATGGGGAAATAGTTTAAAAATGAGAAGTGAGACGTTGCTTTTCCATCCACACCTCAAAGCTGCCCGCAAAGGACAGCTGAAGGACAGCAGGAAAGCTGTGCGCTGCTGCCAGCACAGACCCAGAGCCAAATCCTTGCCCTTGTTTTGTCTGCCTCCCCAGCTCTCCAGATTCACTAAGCTCAGACTTGAGAGTTCATATTTTTGTAGCCATATTTTCTGGTTGCTGGACTGGAGATGTAAAAGCTTTTGGGACATCTCCTCCATGTGTGCTTCAAGGACACAGCTATTCTGGGCTTACCATGGAGGAAAAACCCAGAGTCTCCAGGAGGAGCTGTGAGTATAGCACTGCAGTGATGTGCAAAAGAAGCAGCAAATTTCTCACCAGGGCCACAACTCACCTCTGCTCTAATACTTAATGGCTGAATATTTTCCTTTTTAAAGCCTCCTATTCTACTTTTGCCCTAGTGCAACACTAAAGACTGAATCCCTAACTCACTTAGTACAGCTAGAACAATACGACAAATATTACCATAATGGTTGGGCATTAGGAAAAGGGTCCTGGAAAAGGTGGTCAAGTGCTGGAACAAGCTCCCCAGGGCAGCAGTCACGGCCCCAAGCTGCTAGAGCTCACAAAGCTGTCAAACCAAGGGTTTGAGTTCTGGGTGGTCCTTTGCAGAGCCGGGAGTTGGACTCGATGATCCTTGTGCATCCCTTCCAATTTGAGACATCTGGGGATTCTGTGACTAAAAGCTCATCGTATGTACAAGTAGAGCAACAAGCTAATTGGAGCTGTCAGTAGAAAAACAGAAAGACAACTGAAATGAAGACAGCAATGCCTATCCTCTACCAAGGATATCAAAGACAAGTCCAGAAGGAGGCCTGCCTCCACAACGGTGCTGGTTAAAAACTCCTTAAAGAGCTATAGAGACCCTTATGTCAAACAACAAGGGCTTAAGTCAAGGCAGATGAGCACATGGAAAACAGCAGTGTTTGGGTACTGTCCATAGATCTAGGCTCAGAAAGGCAACAGTTCATATCAGCATCTCACAGAAGCTATCACAGAAGCTAATAGTAGTCATCCCTATGGGGACCTCATTGCGACCTTTCAGTACATAAAGAGAGCTTATAAAAAAAGATGAAGACTCTGATAGCAATAGGACATTGGACAGTTTTAAACCACAAGAGAGGAAAATAGGGTGAGATGCTGGGGGTAATTCTTCACTCAGAGTGGTGAGGTGCCAGCACTGCTGCCCAGAGCTGTGGGTGCCCCATCCCTGGAGGTGCCCCAGAACACGGATGGGCCCTGGGCAGCCTGAGCTGGGGGCAGCCAGCCCATGGCAGGGATGGGGCTCAGTGATCCAACCTAAGCAATCCTATGGCTCTTGCAGACAAGAGCCCCTTTGTGGCCAGCTCTCTGGACACATCAGCCATGCTGATACCTGCTGCCAGCTTTAACACAGGAGCAGAGCTCAGTATTCTGCACTCGACCTTATGGCTGACACAAGGAGCCACGATTTATATCCACAAAAGAACATGAAATTCACTATGATAAGCTTCATAACATGAAGCACAACAGCATTTTATTTCTGACAAAATTTACTATAATTAAAGTAAATAAACAGGAGCCGAATATAGCGAAGATTTACTCTATTCTACCAATTAAGTGAAGCTAAATTGCTAGGTGGGAGACTTTAGGTGGACAAAATGGGCAGCTGAAGTTTTGAAGTTTGCACCAGAGACCAGACAACAACATTAAGGGCCAGAGATGTCCAAATACTTACAGCCACACCAGCACAGAGAAGCAACCTTGCTTGAGTACCCAAGCAATGATGTCTGCTCCCACTCACTCAGCCTGGAATTCCTGACACAAGTACACAAGGGCACCAGCTCCTAACAGCTAACAATGATCAAACTCTTGAGAATTTCTCAGCATCACACTTGGACATTCCCAGGCAGAGGGAACAAGAACTTCATTAAATGAAGATATACTGACGGGATCCAAATAAAAAGTCAAGATCTAGCCTGGAACATGCAAGTCTAAGTAGTTACTACAGCGATTTTATACCTAATGAGAAATTGCTAAGAAAGGCACAAAGATGTTCCCAAACCTGATTTCATTCTCAAGTCTTACAGCTTAGCTGCCTTCAGTTCCTCCAGTTAGCTTTCTAAGAGCACGAGTGGCCAGCATAAACGAGGTCAGGCTCCAGTGACCCATCAGGAAAGCACATGAAAGCAGCAGACAAATCTGGGTGATGCTCACTCATCTGTGCCAGCTCTCTCTTTGAAGGATGCCCCTTGTAAAACACCAGTGCTTTTTATTCTGCGAAAGCGTTTGTAAGATTGGAACAAGGGAATTAAGAATAGTGAAAACCTTGAAGAAGAAACAAATAGGGAAAACAAAAGACTTCAGGTCATGCTACAGGCATCCCAGAAAATGCCTTCATTCTCCAGTCCAGAGATCTCTTCAAAACAGCTGCAGGGAAAGCAACTTATTGCTTTGAAGAAGAGCCCAAATTCAACTTCATGCAGTTGAGAACTGTATGAAATTCAGTGTTATACTCAAGAAAGACAAGCTTGTAGAAATAAATTATAAAACTCCATACAGGAAAATAGGGTTTTTCAGGAAAAAAAATAAATAAATAAAAAATCATACAGATTTCTCCAAGACAGCTTTTTAGTGAAGTCAAATCTAGTCAGGCAATCATCATTAACACATAATGCACCTTATACCACTATTTGTATTTCCTTAAAGAAATGCAGGCAGCTGTAGATAATGATATATCAATGCTCAGTGCTGCAGCAAATCTCAAGCTCAACAACCTATTTTCCTGCTGATCTGGCTGCTTCAGCAATTTTAGCTAGGAATCAATCAGTGCAGTAATTAGTAAGCTAGGTGCCTTGCAACATGGCAGCAGGGAGATCTGAAGACAAGCTAACAATGATACTGAAGGCCCAAGTGCCCAGGAGTTCCAGTTGTTAAGGACTAGCTACCAATAAATTCATCTCCCCGTTCCTTTTCCTCCAGAACTAAAATCAATATGACCCCTACCTAGAGGAGGGATCACTGCAGCATCATCCATCCAATCCCACTGATCAGCCTGGGTAGAGAGGTCTCATATAAAGAGTTACCGAACTTTAGCATCCTGTGCAATATTCAATATATGCTAAAACCCCATCACTACTAACACTGTAATAAGAAGGATAAATTCCCATTATTTCAGCAGCTATGAAGCCTCAAAAGATCATGGTGATTAACTGGAGATCACATCAGAGGCTTTCCTTAACTGGAAGACAGACACAGCTGATTGCCCACAGACATGAACCTGAAACCAATTATCAGCTATAGAAATGGAATAAATATTGGTACAATTCCTTCGATTCTCTGGTGAACAGCAATCTTCTTCTTACCATTCCAAGTTCAGCTATTCCAGTACATTGTCTTAAAAAAACCCAACAAAACAAAACAACCATCAAACAATATATGTTAAAATTGGAAAATGAATCCCATTTAATTATGATGTTGTGGCAGTGCGAGCTTCAGAACAGAAAGAGGAGTGACCTAATGAGACGTTCGTCTAAAATAAGATGAAAGTTGTCTTAAGAACACATTCCAACTTCTGAAGGCTTCTAATTTCTATGTAGGAATCAAATTTAGTTTGCAAGATTTAGAAAGCTCCTTGTGCTTCAAGCTACACCAAATAGTCATGATGTACTCTCATGCTCCCAGTCTGTGCACCTGCCTACCTGCAGCAGATCTGGGACTAAATATTCCTCTTTCAGTATATGGTTGGCAACCCTGTACAGCCCAAATATCTCAGAAACAAATTCATTCATTGACTCTATAGTGTTTCACAGTGGTAATCCATCTCCAGCAGGATGATCCCGCTGGTGCTCAGCTTACTGGCTATGTGAGTAACCACCAACAATACAGAAGTGGAATTGGAAACTCCAGCAATGCTTTCAGGACATATCATACCCCCATATTTATGCAAATATTTGCTAACATGTTGATACACTGGCAGCAAAAATAACAGTAATGGAAGCGAGCTCCACACTGGTATCTATTACCTCCCTCAACACCACAACACAGTAAATCAAACTCGCCTCCCAGAGCTGCCATGGCTCACCTCAGCTTTCTCCCGTAGCCAGCAATGAGCACTGCCTCTTCTTGTATCCTGTAGGATAAAATCCTGTACAAATCCTGTAGGAACTCACTAATACCAAGGTCTTCTGATGGAACCAGACCACACGCTCAGAAGTTGGTCATGGCAGAGGATAATCACGAGCATCACTCCATCGAGACCGTGCGCAATATCCCCTACCCAAAGCAGTTTGGTGTTTCATTTGTAGTTAATTAGCTTCACTCACATTTTATAGAGACAGCAGCACATATGGCCCAAACCTAAAAACAAAAGGAACTCTTATTTTAAACTCAATTCTAAATATAAAGCTGGAGATAAGACACAAGTGTGTGGTGTACTCGCCAATTTATTCTCAATTTTCTCTTCCCTGCAACATTAAAAAAAATAATATAGCAATAAGAGTCAGTTACTAAAATTTCAGGCAGCCCATTGCAAATGGTGCTCATTTCAGTCTGTTGTTTTTTTATAAACTCAGCCTTTAGTAAAAGATGGCCTAATTGCTAGCACAAAGTGAACAGTTATGTTGTTTTTTCACAAAATACTCTCACACGATCAACTCTCAGGAAGCCACATCTCCAGCAGGAGGTTCTTATGCTCTGCTAATTCAAGTCACGTTTTCCAAGCACGAACAAAGTCCCTTCGGTTGCACCCATGAACAGCAGAGAAAAACCCCACATTTTTCTAGCCTGAAAGTGCTGATGTATTCTTCAAGTAACACTTTTACAGAAAAGAAGTCATTATTACGATTATCATTATTATTTTTTTAAGTGTTACACAAAGCCTTTCCTCTTATTTTTCCTTTCCCCCCTTGATTCACAAGCCACAGCAGCTCAACACCACTGCAGCACTCTTGAATGCTCCTGCCAGAACCTGCCACAGCCCTAACTGAAGCACCATTGTTTGATGGAGGTTTGGAGACAGCCCAAGGGAAAAGACCTGACATCCTTTTTCTCAATGGTAACATAGCTTATTAGTCTCAAATATCTCACTTGGGCTGCAAGAACGGCCACAAAAAGCTCCTCATTGCCAGCTGGCCTGCACTCACCAGCACTGAGCAAAGCAAGCAAAGCGCTGGGGCATTGGTGTGCTCTGCACTACTTTCTATCAGAAGGGCTAATTCCAAAGCTCCCCTTCCTCAAGTCATCGCTTTCTGTAATTGGCTTGTAGGCGTAGTGCTGTACTTATGGCATTAGCAGCCTAAAAGCTCTGAACAAGTTCCTCTGAGTGAGTGAAGAATAAGTCAATTTACAAGATTAAAGCAGTTTAATGCAGCTCAGACCTGGTGGAAGCACAGGTCATCCCTACTGCAGGCAGTGGTAAAACAATGCCTAACTATCCCTTGTGCATTAGGGGACTTCCATACTGCCATCACAGCTGGAAGTCTTGCCCAGACCTCAGCAACCCCAAAGAGACAGGAGCCCCAGCTCTACCAACCCATGTCACCAGCACAAGCACCACTCTTCCAACTGCGTTCAAGAAACACAGGGATGCCATCACATGTGACAGTGCACAAGTCACTTTGCACAATTCAGCCAGTTCCAAGCTGCTTGATTGTGCAAACAAAATTAAATGGCAGAAATGCAGAAGTAACCAATGAATAACGCCATTTTTTACCTCCAAACCTCTCCTTCCCATACCCCCAAATATTCTATCTGCACATGAATCCTCGAGCCTGGATGGCAGAGATAAAAAACTTTGGGAAATGGACAAACTCCACAAAATTAAGTTGTTTGAAGATGTTAAAGCAGAAGAAGAAAACCTGCAGCACTGAGGGAAGCGTTTTTCTTTGAACGCTGCAAACCGAAGGCTGCCAAAACAGATAACAGACGCCTTACACTCAACAAAGGGTATTCAATTCGACACCCATTGAAGCTGGAGATGAGTGAAGAAGTTTCAAAAAAAAGTTTTCTGAAAGTTAGAGCTACCAAAACATCCAAAGGAACATCAGAGAGATTCAAAGGCATCGTACTGCAGAATCGGGATCATCACTATGGAAGGAACGGACTCCTCTGCCCCCAGGGATGTCCATCTCCAAAGCCCAGGACACATAGCACCAACAGTGCTTCGACCAGAGGAGACGTACCAAACCCTGAAACAACTCAGAGCTTTGCACCCTAAGAAGAATAACACCACTACTGCACACTCTCAATAAACATCTCTTTCTAAACACTCTTCCTGCAGCACAGGATTTTAAGAAGTTAACCCAGCTATTATTCGTCTCCTTTTTGCTCTACAACAGATGTTCAAACTGTGAGGTTTTGCTTCTTGCTCTTTGAGATCTGAATTATGAGTTCACACGGAGGAGGTCAACCTCTGTCTGGACTGACTCGATGAAAACACACCGACGTTGTGAGTTAATTGTAGCCGTAAATCTCTCTCTCCCAATTAGTTTCTACAATCAGCTGAAGAGCAGCATCAGGAATACCCTGAAGACTTCAGTCAGAAACATCAATTTCTTAAGATGTAAATAATCACTTGTGGTACAAGTGGGAATGAGAGAATAATCACATATTTATCTCTGTAGCTGCATGGGATTTTATCCACCACTCTGGACCTGGGGATGAGCCTTCAGCCAGTGTTTTTTCATTACAGTTATCTTAAACCTCACCTCATTCTTCCTAAAGCTCAGGTGCTGCCTATCTTTTCAGGTATTTCATATTTCAAGCAGATACTCAGGTTGTGTAGAATTTCTCTGAACATTGCTTTCCTTAGCATTCCCACAAGGTTCTGAAACACAGCCTAGGAGTCAGCAAGTCTGGTTGAGTGCTTATTTCCATTGCACTGGAGTCACTCAAATCACAGTCACACGAAACCCATGATTTATCTGAAACCTTGACTGCTTGTGTAAACACCACCAGACGCCTCTACGATTGGAAAACAATTCATCCTTCCCACATCAAATAGGATCATTTGTTCCCAGGCAAGAGACAGTGCACTACCTAATCTGAACCACTATACCGTATGCACACATAGCCACATATATCTGTGCATCACCTCAGAAACAAGAAATAGTGATGTCTGACCGTGAATTGAATACCTATTTGCAGCCCCTAGTTAATCATCTGCTTTCCTCATCCTTTGTAATTAAAGAGATGTTTGTACATTGCATTAAATTAACATATAAAAAGTCTGTAAACTCACAGAGTCCCGTGTCTCCCTCACCCTCATTTTCCAAGGCTGCTGAACTGTACAATAAGTAGTTTAAATAAACAAGCTTTAAATGAGTTCTCCCATGGATCATCAATCAGACACAGGGCCAAAGCTGTACAGAATGATGCACCGATTTGCTCCTTTCCCATATCATGCCTTCCTTGGTCCCATTTAATAACTTTTAATAGCTCTAATGACATGCTCTACTCCATGTAAGTCATTCTGCAACTGAGGAGTAAGAGAACAAGTATATCTTGTTCATCAAATGAAATATTTTCCTTCATATGGAATCTGTTTTTACTCCATTGTAATCTACATGCATCTACCTCACTAGTACTACAAAGAGGAGCAGAATTCAACTATTAGCACAGAGCCATGGCACGCTAATGGATTTTCCTGCACACTATATATTTGGGTGCTCCAAAAGATTAATGACTGAAAACTGCAGTAATTAATCATCTTAATGAGCCTGATTGTTTCTCTAAAGGAACAGCAAGAAAACCAGTTCTTGCCTGCAGTTGGAGAACAGGCGCTGTGTCCCACATACCTCAACCATGCCTTTCCTTCAAGGTATCCTTTGGTTACCAGAGCCAGCTGGAACATTGTGCCTGCCCAAACAGAATGTTAAAATGGAAATATTCAGGTCTACTGCTTTAAAAATACACTTTTCCAGGTAAGCAGCTCCTTTTACCACCACTTCGTGTACTTGATTTAATCAAATGAACACATCCTAGCTCAGCGTTCTGACACTGCAGCTTGGAGCTGCCCACATCAATCAGGGGCAAATATAGATCTGCTTGCTTCAGTTTCCTTCACAGAGAAAGGGTTTTTGCCTTTGTAGCTGTAAAAAAAAGAAAAAAGTTTTTAAGAAACTGCCTCTATTGATTTGCACAGAGCAAAGAACACTCAGAACATCAACAAACTGAAGCCTCCACCATCAATCCCTGGGGGAAAATCCTGTGGGGTTTTATTCCATCAAGTCACTGCTAAGGAAAGATGCCCACACTCAACAGGCATGTATTAGCTGACCAGCCATCCCATTTTGCTTCTTTGGCTAAACTCTGGAGTGTCACAACAGCTTCCCAGATCCACATAAGGCACAACTTGCATTTACCCCAGGTATCCATGTATTTATCTCCAGACTATCCGCCCTGAAGCATTCAGACATGTCCTAGCAATCACATAATTAGAAAAGTTAATGAATCACTCGAACACTGCAAATCCTTAAGGGTCTTGGAACCTCTGCTGGATTACATGAATCCCCAGTGAGGTACGCAGAAATAGGAAGAAAATAAATCTACATCAGTAAAGTTTCTTCCATGGAATAAGCATCCTTATAATAAGAAGCCCTTTACAAAAGTCCCAGGCAAAGTACCATTGGCAGCAGGGGCAGCTCCTGCACACTTTACACCCAACAGCAGGAGATCGTTTCCACCTTCAGAACTTGGTGTCTGAGCACAAGATTAATTCCACACAGCTGATAGAAGGCGACAGTGGACTCCAAATCAAAGGCACATCACCATCTTCAAAAGGAAATGCTTTAAGTACATAAAGTGGAATCTTAAACAGCTTAAGTGTAAAAAAAAACAAAAAAAAACAACACCTACATTCCTGAAATGTGCTCAGTGCACCTCAATGTGCTTTCATGGAACAGTAAGTCCACCTTTTGCGCATCTCAAAGCTGCCATTTTCAGAATGGAACTCATAAAAAATTATTTACACCCTTTTCTCCCTGCCAAGCCCTAAAAATAACAGGTAGTGATTCTCCTTTGAAAGCAAGGAGCCATAGGCCTTTCAAGGCAAAGAGCCCAGCTCAGCACAACAGCCAGCAGCTGCTCAGCACAGGGATACCCCCAGGGCTCCATGCCCCAGGCAATGCTGAGCATCCTTACACCAAAAGGATCACTTTGGGAAAAAAACCAAACAGCACAGCTTACAAGAGGGCAGCTCAGCGAAAACAAAAGCACAGTGGCACCACAGAAGAGTGAAATAGAAAAAAAAAAAAAACAACAACAAACTATAACTGGGAACCTAGCAGCAGATCTGCTCACATTTCTCACCCTGAATAAAAGCACAATGAATTCTGAGCCGTCACAGCCTGCACTGTCCATGTTTCTAACAGAAGGCACAGCAGCGCATGTGTACTCCTTCAATACCTTCCACTCTCAGGCAATGAGCTAAAAGCTCAAACTGCCAACTTCAGCCCAACCCAAAGCCTGTGGTTTTCAATATGCTGACTCACATCCAGACTGTCAAAAACACTTTAGAAAATTCTGAGGGAAAAAAAAAAGAAAAAAAAAAAAAGGAAGAGATGACCCAGCAGAGGAAGCAACATCCTCCCAAGCAATGTAACGTCAACAAAAACCTGCCCACACACAAATATTCTGGGCTTTCTCCTGCTATCCTGCAGCAGAATAGCCATTCCTGAGCAAATAGAATAGGATATTCACATGGAAGGGACCTAAAAAGACTCTTGGGTGCAATGGCCCGACCTCTTCAGGGCAAAGCAAGTTAGTATGGGATCCATAAACATTCAGTTAACAAAACCTAACTGGCACTGTAAAGCCAATCAAGCTTATCCTGAGGCAAAAATAATGTTATTCCAAGATGGGAGACTTTTGCTTAGGAGACAAGCAAGCTGAGAGGCAATCCAGCAGACCCATTCCAACGGCTCCAAGGAAAACGATGTCATATGTAGGCAATGTATGGCAAAGCAGTGAAAGCCCCGAGCTTATTCTTGTCTACTCCTCCATGAGAAAGTGTCAAGACTTATACAAGATTTAATGACTGCAAGGAGAGAAAACAGTTTAATGCAATGAGACTTCACCCAGATGCCATCCCACAATATTCTGTCTCCTCTCCCCCCCTTTTCTCCCTAGCAGTCGCAAGTCCTTGCACTTTACTTGTATGGAACATACAGCCATCATCAGTTACTGGGCTATAAATTAGCTTTCCAGACTGATAAAACATTGTAGAGCATGAAAGCAAGATGCAACCAGGCTCAGAAACTGCTGCTTACAGAACTAGGCACTAACTCCTGCTCCAGCCACAACGTTCCTTGCTGTGCAGAAAGGAGAAGGTTTAAGGAAAATAAAGTACAGTGACAAGAAAGAGCTGCTAAACAAGATCTGCCTTTACAAGTGGTCTGATAACACAAATACTCCTTGTACATTGCAAACGCAACCGATGTGACAGGAGCAATAACTGGAAACAGATTGTAGTTGACACACTGACGTGTTTCTGCTCCTGGTTTAGCAGGAAAGACCTCAACTTCGAACTGGTTTCCTCATTTGAGATAGAGTAACCATGCAAAAGAAGAGCAGGAGCTCGCCGTGCGCTGGAAGCAGCACCGCTGGCAGCAGCTGGGTCACCTCTTCAGCCCTGCTTCTGGGCAGGGGCATGCTGCACTTCAGCAAATTGAACTCTGAGACAGACAGATCAAAGTCTGTGCTATTCATTTAATTGATTATTAACAGGTCAAAGACCATCAGGACTTGCTTCAGCTACAGTTCACAGGCAACTTAAAACAACTCAGCTTTCCGCCCATCATTTTAAACTCGGATTCGCTGTGTAAAAACCATACGTGGCAATGGTTAATGTTTGCTTAAAGCCTATTTTTCTTTTCCCTGAAGTGAGGAAGATTGACTGATAACAACTGCTCACCATACATATAGGTCGAATACATCCCTCTGGAGGTGCTGTGTTATACCTGGTATTTTTACAGAGGCACAAAGGCCAGTCAAAACACCTGCAATATAATCATAAATACAACGTTTGCCTGTAAAGAATTGCAGGATACAAGGTGCTGGGATGTAACGAAACTCATAGGATTAGGTGCAGAGATGAAGTTGTACAGCTGCCCTCAGATAACTCACCTCTCACCAAGGATGTGTCTGCATGCTCTATTAATGCAAGTGTGCAAATCAAAATCTCTCTTTTTTCTATATGAAAAATGTTCTGAGAACTCCAAAGGATGTCCTGTATTCCTCAGACTTAGATGAACTTTTCACCGCATGTGTAGCTACACCAAAGATGGCCTTCTATCACCAGTAACCCAGTTGTCGGGGCTTTGAAATGCGAGGAAAAATATTCCCAACAGAACAAAGAACATCTCTGCTATCAACAAAACCAAACAATCACACCAATAAATGATTCACATTACCCCACTGACAACAAAGAGGCTGTGTGCTCAGGTAGGCCTGCTGCAGAGCTGCCACTTATCCCCACTTGCCCGTTTAGTTCGTGGCAGCAGTGTAATCCTTCCTCTTTGATCAGCTGCAGAGCTGTTTGTGTTCAGCACACAGACGCGTGGAACAGTCACATTCTGACAGCAGGCATCTTCCCAAAGCCTTCCAGCCTGAAAGCAAGCACCAAGCAGCCAGCA